ATATATATATATATATATATATATATATATATATATATATATATATATATATATATATAAGTGCATATGTATATCAGTGCCACTGTATGTGTAAGTGTGTAGGTGTGTGTTGTGTGTATGTGTGGGTGTTGGGTGTGTGTAAGCATTTGATGGTCTCACCAATTCCTATTTATTTTCAATTTTTTTGTGTTCATATTTGATGCAGAAGGCTATTTCGGTCCACGAATCTCAATTGCATTTTCAGAAATATTCGACAGCATACCCATCTGTATCCTCTTAAGCACTTAAGCAAGTGTTTCTCCATGGAACATCTCACACCGCTTTTTCATCCTCCACTTTCCCTTACTTATTTCATCCCATTCTTTTGGAACAACTTATTTGCAATCTTTGATGGATTTAATATAAGATAGTCTAAATGGATGTCGAGCTAGAATATCAGTAGTAGTGATGCAGAATACCAGTAACCCTTCCTCTCCAAACAAAATCAAGGCGCGAATCAACTTCCATCTCATTACCATGACCTGTCCCTTGATTACACCACCTTAACTCCATCGTAGAATTCGTTTAAAAATTGCTTTATAGATTAGTTTTTAGATAAGAAAATATAGATAAGAAAGAAAGAGGTTTCTTATCTTTATAGATAAGAAAATAAACTTAAGAAATAGAAGCTTAATGTTCAGAAAATACATAAATCTTTTGATTATTGTAACAGGAAGATTATATCTGAGATAAAACTTAGAAAGAAATGATAATTTAATGTCGAAAAATTCCAACCAGCAAACGTCTATGAACATGACTGAAGTATACCAGTAATAATTATATTACGGTAGCCCTTCTATATTGCTCTGTCAAACATTCTTTGTAACCTCTATATTTCTCATGACAATAGCAACAAATGAAAAAATGGACAGAGAGACAGATCCTTCCACAAAACTTTCCTTCGTTCAATCCAGAAACTTCATTAAAAAACATCCGCCACAGTAGAGTAAAAATATCACCTTTTTGAAGATGGTACTTAGTGCAAACGTCCTCTTACACTATGAAGTTCTAGTGCAACCAGTGCTATCTCATGCAGCAGGAGAGACCGCAAGTTTTTCCGATTTTTGAGGATATTTGCATTATTACAACATAGCCGTAAAGAAAAAAAGTGAAATTTTATCAAAAATTATATCAGAAGATTCAAAAAAAAAAGAAAAAAGAAAAAAACTGTATAAGCAATACCAAACAAAAAACAATAAGGCTACAGGGAAAATGCTAAGCTAAAAATTATCTTGAAAATATCAACGAGACCTTCCGGGATGTCGATGGCTGATCATCGTTACCAGCAACATCACCACTGCTATCCGGACACGGTGTCGACAAGGACTGCTGTAATCGTATTTCTGCGCTTACTGCCTGAAATAACTTCCGTAATTATTTGTTCCCCAACTTTCCCAATCTCCTAGATTTGGGTCATTATACAAATGCTTTCTTCTGGCTAATAAAAACATTTATAAAGGATAGTACTGATAAGCAACGTGGTTAAATAAATATGAGGGAAATCAAACAGCAATTAGCAATTTAAAAATAAACAAACATCGAAATCAGTATTTTCTTCATTTTTCTATTTCTAATTACAGAGTGATCTAAGCTAAGTATCCGAAATAAGAAGATACAATGAGGAAAGAAATTGAGAACACGAAGACGATACTGATTTCAATGTTTATCATAAAAGTTCAAGTCCTGACTTTATGAAATCACGATTAAAAATTTGATGATATGCAGATATTACACAGAAGTCATATATCAATGGACATAATTTGGAATATTATGTTAGGAAAATATTAATTTCTTTCCTCGCAACTACAGACCTAAACTAAGTCACTGAAATCGACTGATATTTGTCCATGGTAATTAAACAGAAAAATCTACAGGAAATGGTCTGAATAGTACTTGAAGTGCAAAAACAGGATCCAAATCGGAAATATTTCGTCATCGAAAATAAAGTTACAAAGATGATGATGTGATAGGAATCAGGGATTAGAAAAAGAAAAAATGAATCGCCAGGAAGGGAAACTATGTTACTGAGATTTTATTTTAAAATGGTAAGAATTATAAAAGGATTGTTTTGGCTAACTAATCTAAATTTTCGATGTATAAAGCTTGGTTTGGAAGAGACTGTTGTAGGATATTGGATTAGATTACTATATGACTACAATAGATCACATTTTTTTTTAAATTATCCATTTTTAAAAAAACTGGACATAATCTGAGGTTCGAGAAATAGGAAGTACGTTTAATCTTGTTCGTGCTATCCACTCACACAAGAAGGATTGATTAAATGATTGATTAATGATTAAATGTTCAAGAAGGATTGATTAAAATGAAGCTGCATCAAACGTGTTATCTCTCACCTCATCAGTAAGCATGATAAAAACTCATACTTATTTCATTTCTGGTATGCGTATCCATAACTTCATTTCGCGTAAAAGCTCTTCTATTAGTGTTAGTCAAATTTAGTCGTTTAAAATGCTTAGTCAAAACTTTTTTTCCTTCGAAAATATAGGAATTTGAGGGCTATTATTACGTCAGTTTACCAAGCCTTATTTCAAAAATTGCTCTTAGAAATTATGGAATAAATTAAGGAAAACTTTGGCAATTGAATTAAGTGAGGAAAACTTTTTTATTATGAACTTCGACAAAAGAGCAATCACAGCGTCTTTCTTTTCAGTTCATTTTTTTTCTTTTGTCAACAAAATAATTTCGTAATTGGTAAAGAATCAAGAAAGTAACAAAAAAAAATCCTATATGTTACCGATTTTCTTAAGAAATATCTATACAAAGTAAACTATTATTCAAGCTGCAAATTCGTTAACGATGATGAAATAAAAAATTGGAAGTGGTGACTTAAAATCGTTGGTATGCTAATCATAGCTAGCCATAAGAAATAATGATCGATACCGCGGCGTGATTTGATTCGACATTTGCTAGGAAACATGGATCTTCCACAGTACTGGCTTGTCTTATCAAGGCATTATTGCATCCCGTTGTGATCGCAACTTTCTCAATACCATTAACGCACAATGGATTTAATTCTGACGGTGCAAAGGATGTGGCGGAAACCGCATCGATAGTATGCTTGTGACTGTTATCGCTCAGAGGTGGAGCGGAACGTGGAGGAGGTGGCGGCAGAGCAATTGGTGGACGACGTGTACGAATGGCAGTAGCAGAATCCATGGACTGATAAAGACGAGTTGATTCATATAACGATGAGCTTGGGGTCAGGCGGCATTCGAAATCGTCATCGTCCAATTCGAACCACAAATCATCTGTCCTGCAACTAATTTTTTCAGTTAGCGTTTTTGACAATCAATAAAAGCCTTTGTCTTTCCCTCAATTAGTTGTACTGAATAGAGTTCAATGAAGACTGCTGTACTCTAAGGGCTGCATCAAATTTCTCATTTTTTTACGCGGTGACGCGGGATAATATCTTTTATTCTAGTGGGCAAAGTAAACAAAAGTAAGAACTAAAAACTATATAAGTTGTCCATAAACTGTCCCGTTCCTCCTAAACTTTCTTCCTGCTCTATTTAAATATAATCCTAAGCCTTCTAGAAATGTAGCAAAGTTTTTCATATCAAATAAACTGTCGTAATTTTGCGATAAAGAAAATTTAATGAAATAATGATACTGCATGAAGAAATGAACATAACTGGATTATGATGTCATCAAAAATAATTACCACAAAGAGGAGATGGTTTTCGATGAATAACATGTAAATCTTAAAGAAGTTTACAGGACTGTTACTAATTTAACATAATTTTGGCAGTTTCTCAGTCCTCTCCACATCGAATACTTTTTTTTTTGCCAAATTCCTTACATAATTGAGGAATAATTGATTGTCATATTATAATTACCACTGTTTTTATTAATCATCAATGATTTTCACTGCTATTAAATATATGTCGTCCATCTGAATGAGTTACGATCTCCAAAATCCATTTCAGCTATCATACAACCATAAGTTGAAAAGTCCCTGGCATTATTTGCAGGACTCAAAGGGGTTATCATTAACTTTCACTACATGTTACAGTGCAGACTATTATAGTATCTTGCAGAAAATGCGAAAAGTTGAAGTTTTTAAAGGTAAGATATTTAAGAGTTATTAAAAGTGACAACACTTTTCAGATAACAAAACTCCTTAAATTTTCTAATGAAGTTCATCTCAGAGCTCTGAAAATTGAATCAGTTCATTTGAAAAATGATGAAAAATCTCAAAAGAAAATTCTGCATTTAATGATTACTGAAAGGAGAAAAAACCGGAACTTAGGGCGAGGAAATCTGAAAAGCGGTGAATAAATTTCTAAGACGTAGATAAACAATCAGTATCATTTTCGATTTAATATGCCATGGATTACAGACGAGCAATATATGTAGTAAAAATATCTGCTATAAAGGCCACTTATCCGTTGTACGAAAAAGACAACCAATACAGCATCAGTATACGGTGGGCAATATTTCTCCCAAAAAATACTATAAGCTGTAAGTCAGCCAAGATGGTTTGCAAAACAGTTCAGTTATTATTAGATATGGCGTATTGAACGTTCGGATAGTTCAGCTGTCCTTGATAATGTATGATATAAAGAACAATAAAAGCAAGACATGACGATCTCTGAGCAAGTAATTGAGGAATTTGAGATAGGTGTTTAATTAAAAAATCAAATCATATTTTAAATTTAATTCAGCAATTACAGAGATCGCTTGGTGATCTTGGGAGAATAAAATCGCGAGATCAATGCTTTACATTCATTCATACTGCAAGATTCCATTAATTTAATTCAAACGGCCACTGTAAAACCTCAGCTTGAAATTATCGCAGATTTATATATTAATTATAATAGCGATCCAGATCCAGCAAACTGTTACTGTTATTGACTGACCTATTTCGTGCTAAAAAACCAATATGCTATATTTGAATTCACACTAATGTGAAAACTAAGATATTTGCAAAGTAACGAAGTAAAAGTAAACTAGTCTCACCAGGGGAATCATAGCACCGGCACGCTTCATGATGTCGTTTCAGAAAAGTGCTCCGAAATAGTCCCTCGCTTTAAAATACATCTGTCACCCAACTTCTTAGACAAACTTTTCCTTTATCAAATTCAAAAGAAAGTTATTTTCGTGAAGTTCTAAAGAATTTTAATAATTTAGGTTTTAAATATGGAAAAAAAAACAGTTCAGATGAAAGCCGATTTGTCTGAAAGTGATTTCTAGATAAGAAAGGAAAGATCGCAGGGAGCGACTCCATAAAAAACGCAACCTCTTTCTCATTCTTCTGTTCTTTCAATGAATTCCCACAATATCAAAAATCAGCTAAACTTGATGATGTTAAATTTGACGGAAGAACTTTGGACGGAAAAACTTTGCCTTGTTTGCTGTTCACTGATCCTCTTACGCATTACTACATAGGAACACACCTATTTTTCCCTTCACTTCTTACCTTGGCGTTATTTCAGAAATATACAGACACAAATAACATTAAAAAAATTTAAAGAAAAAAACAGACCTCTTTGAAAGCACTGGAATAAGATGAACTTCTACGTCCACCTTTTTCTCCTTTTATTCCATCCTTTTAATTTTCCGACGTTATTTATTCCCACTTAATTCTAAAAACTTTGCATATCCTATGTAAATTTCATAAATCCGTTATGCCGACCAAAGCTCTTCCCATAAGAAAATATTTGGTAAAATTCTCGCTAGAATTTTCCCTTTTTAAAAACGCTTTCTAAACAACACCTATAATCTCCGCAAGTGCAGGCCTTCCTCCTACCTTCTTGAGTCAGAGCTACGACGAAGATATTCGTATCATTGGCGGATGACTAGCATCTGATTAAACGACTGGCCTCAGTGTAACCATACAAGGTGTTTCACTAAACAATCAACAGTATTACTCGTAACCTAGGCAGGAAAGGACATCTCTCTGAACTGATTTAATTGGCAGGAACCAGAGAGCAAGCAAAATTAAAGAGGTCGTGGAGTGAATCACTGATAAGAAATAATTATTAAGTAAAAATGCAAAGTTTTCCTTTTCTCGTTCTACGAAATTTATTTTCTTTCCTCGTCTAATTTGAGCAAAAATGAAACGGCGTTCTTAGGTCCTTTCTCTTTTACAAATCCCTTCTATTCCATTGTTTCCAAATGTCTGTCGATGACACCTTCCCTACCTTTTCTGGAATGTTCATTAACATATGGAAATTCGTTAGACACTATCACATGCAGATAAATCGATGAATTACAAATTAAAGACACATGAGTCGCTTTAATGGATGTCAAATGAACATCCGTGTAAACTGTATTACAAGTAGAACAAGAGAAAACCAATAAATGAGCCAGTGGCCATGAGAAGTGTCACATTTGGAACTGGTCTTGAATGATATCCAAGATTAAGCATAGATCGGGAGTACTTAATTTCGCAGTATAAGTAATCGAACAATGCCCCGAAATTACGAAATACAAACAGTTAAAATATCGTTCCACACATAAGAAGACCTAAACTGATTGACAAGTTCATAGCTCTTTACACTCCTGGGAATTTGGCTATCTAATAGCTCCTGATTAAGAATAGAAAATTAGAACAGAGTTTTTAAACAATGGTCAAGAAGTAGTGAAACAGACCGACCACTTTCTTTCCCACAAGTCAACAA